TTTTGGAAAAACTTTTGGTCATTTTTAAATCCATGCTATTTATATAACTAGAGTTTTCTAACGACCTAAAATCGCCTTTTCCACAATGAAACGCTGCAAAGTCATTTTAACATTTACTTTTAATCAACTTTATGATCGGTAATGCAAGAAATGGCTAATGACATGTCACTAGGCTTGCACGTAATTTACGGATTTACGGAATTACGGAATTATTTCGAGTTACGGAAGCGAAGTTACGAATTACGTAAAGTTGTAAATATTGGTCGAGCGCTTTCGCGATTGAAACGAGCTCTCTTCAGAGCAGTCAATTCCGTCGATTGTAAAAAATTAAAGTTTAAGTAAAAGAAGTTAGAGTTCCGGTATTCGCAGCCGTTTTTCTCTCTCTTGTTAGGCAGATGGGGAAGGGATAACGCGTCATTTACTAACCTATTATCAACTTATCTAGGATGGCCAATGTACATATTAACCGTAGATAAGGAATAGAATTGTGTTGAGACCGATGGACGTCAACACACCTGGTTTCAACTTCTTCGGGTGAAATGACTAAAGAATGTAAGAGATCAGCTTATAAAACATGGTCTATTTGTAAATGCCGTGATAATTAATGTCGCGCTTATCAAGCAGCAATATAAAGACGGAAGAGAAATTGCGTAATGAACCAACGCAACTTAGTCTTTTCGGCATCGGTAAAGCGATTGAGACGGCAGAGAAACAACAATACGACAGGATTTCCCGTGTTTATTCTGCGCGAGATCCATTTTCTATTACAAAATCTTGATGTTCTGTTACCGATTTTATCGTTATATATCTGTCCGGACTTGGCATTGCTCAATATGTTTTTCACAATGCCTCGCAGTATGTCGTCCAAATATGATTACCTGTCTTTACCAAATGCGGCAACTTATTTTGATATATCGTCGACTCGAATACCACCTGCACTCGACCAAACTTGTGTCAATTTTGGCAAATAGGATTGTCGACTTGAGTTAGAAAAATAAATTAATATTTTCATGAGTGCAAAATAAATGTCACAAAATGCATTGTTTTGCGATATAACTTTGTATTTTCGGAGAAGGCATGTCATATAAGTACGGTAGTTTAAATAATGCGCAAATAATTAATATTTGATCTAAATTTATCGCAAATAATGTTATAACTTTTAGGCCGCGAAATGATTTAATGTAAAATGAAGCATGGAATTCGGAATATCGTCAATAAGTCGGCATCAATAGTTATTATAAAATGCAAAGTAAGTAGTAAAGTCGGATATTGTAAAAAACGGTGAAATAACAAGTCTTCGTCGCGAGGCAAGCGAAAGTATAATCAAACAAGAGAATACGCTTGTAGTTGATTAATAAATTAGCAACCCGGAATTTTTATTTAATACGAAAGTCGTATTAATACGTTAATACGATTTTGAAAAGGTGAACTATCGTTTCTTAAATATATTACCAGTGTTGGTAATGATAAAATTGATCGCATAAAATTTGGTGATGAAGTGGATAAAAAAATCAAAGGTAATACAAAAGATAAAAATCAGATTAAAATTATTTTGAATTCACTCCTTGATATTTGTCTTTAACATCTGTCGCCGGCGCGTAGTACTGCCGGGAATATGAAAACCAAACTTCGATGTCCTATTCGGAATAGAAGTGGATTAAATTGGTTGTTATGATAGGTTTAAATGTGTGAAAAAAATATCGCAATTACGGGGTCATTACGTAATCGATTTGGCCGTAATTACGGAATTGATTTTTGTCAATTACGTGCAAGCCTACATGTCACCAAGCATGCGGAGTTTAAAATCTGGGAAATTTATTTTAAATACCTTATCTGGTTTGACGTTTCTAAATTTACGGAACGGTCGGTACGTTTTTTTTTTGCAAAATATGGATTTGAGCGAGTGCAAAGATAAGCATATAACACCATAACGCAAAGACAACGACTTTTCAAATTTCTCGTTTTTTTTTCTGATATCGAGCGCCGTTGAGAAATCTCGCACAATTCAAGATTGAGTTGGAGATGCGCGAGTTCGGTGTCCAAGCAGAGCGGCGCAGGTCACGTGGTACCGGATATTCGAATAGTAAAATCCCATTCGCATATTTTATTATTCGAATAGTTCGCCCAGCCCTAGTTGTTACGTGTGTTGTTGTTACAATGACTTGGTATTTTAAATACGCGCCTAAGGTTTGTTGCTGTTTTACCTTGCGTTGTTTGTGTGCGGCTCTTCATAACTTTGAGATTTGAAATGCGGCTCTGGGACTAAAAAAGTTTGAGAACCACTGCTCTTGCTTATGAGTTATAACTGACAACGGTCAGTTATTGCCTTTGCCAGGTCAACCGCATTCCTGTCGACAAGTGCCAGCTGCCCTACTCAGATTGTTGTGCTTATTATTGGACATTATTATGGATCGCGGCAATCGACGGTAAGCGAAGGGATTGTTGGACCTTCCGGCGCTGATTCATGCCACGTTCGCCCGAGTAGTAGCTAATCCACCACTTTTTAAGAAGCCTAGGTCCAACATGGAGTGACCTTCATCGTTTGTGTGAAGCTGATCTTGGAATGTCGTGCTTATCAGCAAGCTCGATTTTGGATTGTCGTGATTAGCAGCAAGCTCAATCTTTTTTTTATAGCTATAAGTTCGGCATGGCTTCCTAAAGTGAGGTAACTACAGTAGTTGTCAGTGAATTCGATACAAAAAGAGAACCTGTTCTTAGAATTTTGAATCCCAACACTGGTGGAAAGAAATTAAAAAATTTATTTCGCAACTCAAATTTATTTATTAATTTTATCTTTAGTATTAGCTTTGATCGGAAAATCAGACAGGGCCTTTTTTTCGTTTGGCCTTCACTCAGGAAACATAGAATTCCTAAACTTAAAATGACGTTTAATGTTGAAACCACCAGGGAATGCAGCCAACACGTTGCCGAATAACTGGTAGTGCATAAATATGTAGCGCGTTCGTTCGCATCTCTCTTTGGTCCCTGTCACAAACTAATTGGTCACACTACAGTTATATCCCGACAAAGATTGTTTTATAGCATAAACAATACAACAATATTTTTAGTGGTAAGACCACAGTAAAACTCAATAAGATCTTGCCTCCATCTTGTACCTAGGGTTGGGGTTTCGGGACCAGTTTTTGAAATCCCGGTATCGAGATATCCCGGGATTGAGCCGTATAATCCCGGGATTTTTCGGGATTAGGTAAAAGATTGAAACAACTTGAATGACAATAAAATCACGTATTTCTTTCATGTAATATCGACGCAGAAATATTAGAGCATTTAGAGCAGTGGTTCCCAACCTTTATTATGTCGCGGCACACTATTTAGCTCTTTAATTATTCGCGGCACACCTATCACAAAACACGATCATTTTCTACCCATGAAGAGTGCGATGGTCGAACGCGAACAAATGGTTACTAGTTACCGATATTAGAACTTTTTTCTTACATTAACGTAAATAAGAACGTCTTTGGAGCACCCACATTATTGCGCGCACAAGTTGCGCGGCCGCACGGGTAATACGTGGTCTTCAGACGCACCGCCGATCACTCGCTTCGATTTTGCTCGCCCTTCCCTGTGCCACGTTACCCCTTTATTATTATCACATGTATTCCCACTTTTTCGCAACCTTATTCATGTTTGTTACAATTCAATATGTTTCTCCCATTGAATCAATTCAATCATTCAATAATGTTATTGTCGGCAGTTGCGAGAGAAATGAAAGTGGCAAACAAACTTTAAGTCATTACAACAAAATATTATCGCTAAAAACACTAAATAGGTTTAAAGTTGTTATAAACAATTTTCACAGTTGGACGTAAATTTTCACGTTAGGAATTTCGTGCAAGGCCCGAGGATAATTTGATGGCAAAGAATATAGCATTTACTATGTCGAAACGCTTATTCGACTTTTCAGACCGCAGAAACTAACCGAAAACGATAACCGTTTTTGTTTTCGAGATATGGAATAATCACGGTTTCGTGAAGTAGTGCAATTTACTAAATTTATAAAGATTTTATCAAGTTTCATTGAATCAGTGTTTGGACTATCACGCGTTTTAATACTGGTTTTATTACTATTGTTATTCACTGGCGTTACAGATCGCAAGGATGGTCAAAAAAGTATATTTTCATCGAATCGAATAATTTTAACTAATTGTCGAATTCGGGATTTTATTCCGATTTTCAACTTTTGGGTCGGCTTTGATCTTTCTTGTCACCGTTTGTAAATTAACTGTCCCAATTTTAAGCTAAAAATATTATCATTTCTGACGCGGGATGCGGATATTTATGAAGACGATAGTTGACCTTCTTGATTTTACTTTTCAAAAGTGTGGCTGTTTTATTTTCGTATTAAATAGTGAATAAAAACCCTGCAAAGTCATTGCGTGAATCCTGAATGCTATTTTGAATCCAAATTATGATGAAATAAGTCGGCAATAATGGCAATTCTACTATTCAAATAATAATTCCCTGGTACAATTTGAATCAAATTTCGCACAATAATTCCACTTTCACTCAAACTATAAGCATGGATAGCTTTTTTTTCAAAATAAGTATTAAATAAAATGGTATAGCCTACCATTTTTTGAGAATATCTTTACGTGGATAACAAAGCCTTAAAATCCCGGGATTTTCAGGAAATAATTGCGGGATCGGGATTGAAAAAAACAGTCCAAACCCCGGGATTTCACGGGGTCCCAACCCTACTTGTACCTACGAATAACAATACCTGAAGTAAAAACAAATTCCATCCAGCAGGGCAATATCACAAGGATTATCACGTTTTATGGCCTGAATCACGAAATCCGCTGCCGATCATGACTAAAAGCTGTCTCATCTTCAAACTTATCGCTTTTGATAACCATTCGGCAAAATCAACACGAGCAAGGCCATAATCTAAATACGACCCCATGCAATTCTGGTTATTTAAATTGTGCAGGGGTCCAAAATGTAAAGTCCTAGCTCCCCAGTACCAAAACCACAAAATATTTCATACTGGCAATCAATTCTTTATTACACAACATAAAACGACTAAAATCAAAACGACCTCATGTACGGGCTCAATAAAATTAGACCGGGCCGGATATTGATCAATCAACAATAATTCATTAACAGGATTAAGCACAAACCAACTGCTGTACATTGAATTAGAAAGCTACTTTTTACAGATTCTCATGACAAACTTCCACACCACGCACAGGCGCAGTAAATTAGCAACTACAGCGCATAGTCAGCAGGATCAAATGCTTGAAAAATACGTTCATTCTTGTAATGAACATTAGAAATAAATATAACTGGACCGCTAGAATAGAATCTTGGTAAGATGAGGAGTTGAAGCTTGAATAAATGAAATTCTATACACTTTGAGTCAATTAAATAAAAAACGGGCACAAGAGCTACATTATTAGGGTAATTTTTTTTCGGAGTAAATCCCCTTTCAATGCTGCACTTTCATGATTACACATCATCGTGAAAATTTTTACCCATTCCTATGCAAACTGGGATAGTAAAAATTTCAAAGCAATCCTCAGCCGTCGCATTCAACTTATCCTATTGCATCTTAATAATGACAAAATATCCTAATTTATAAAAATCCTATCCCTAATGGTAGCGCAGACCTCCAAATACTTACCATGATTAGGGGGTCACAGTCTACATTCATTGATTTCAGATTAATAAAGGAGTGAGGTGAGTGATGGGAGGCGAAGTTTAATAAAAATGAATTGAGAGTATTATCATCAATTATGTCATCAGAAAATTAATTCTCCAATATCCCAGAATCACAAAAAAGCCATGTTCCACAAAACCAAGCTCTACCGCCGGCGTCGATCTTTTCTATCCGTGCTTCTACTTCTAGACCTACGATGACTGCTTCTCGAAGACTTCCTAGAAACCTCTCTTTTGCTACGAGAATGTTTTGATTTGCGATCATCATCTTTTCTACGTGAATGTGATGAACTTTTTCTTCTCCTATCTTCTTCTGATGAAGATGATTCATCGCTACTCCCACTTTCGGAAGATTTCGGTTTTGATCTTATATTACGTTTGGGTGGAGATTGTTGCTTACTTGAGAATTGACGATTTTTGAGCCTGCGATGCTTATCTTCAGATGAACTATCAGAAGAAGAAGATGATGTTTGTGGTTTTGGTTTTCGAGTAGACTTTGTTCTCCCCTTTTCACTCTCACTGTCTGATTCGCTACTAGAAGAAGACGAGGATTTACGAACATGTTTTCTTTCAGACAAAGGTTTACGTTCAGGCGCCTTGTCACTTTTCTGGTGCTTTAATGCTTTGCCAGAACCGAGAGAATCTTTAGTTTGAAGCTTTGCTGCTTTCGAAACGTTAACACGAGTCTCTAATTTTCTAGCAGTTTCAGATTCACTTGACAATGAATGCTCTTGACGTTTTGTTTCATGGCTAGGCTTCATTTCATCGCCGCTGGAGGAAAGTTTAGTTGTGGAATCGACATCACAAGAATCTGAAGATTTTTCTTGATCTGGTTTGACATCTTTTTTGTCTTCTCCGACAGACACGGGAGATCTTTGATTTTCTTCATTGTCATTGCAACCGTTTTTTAACTTTGTCTTTTCTTTTTTGCTCTCATTCACATTATTTTCGAATTCTTCAATCTCTTTCAGTTTTTGGCCACTTCCATTATTATCTTCTTTATCAACAGCACTATTAACATCATTTCTGGAATTGCTAGATTGATTAGACGAGGGGGAATTATTTTCTTGATATTTGGTAGAAGGTTCAATTTGTTCCTCTGTTTCACACGAAGATGCGCCTTGTTGTTCTACATTCACTTCTGACATATCTTCAGAATCAGGGAGAGCATTTTCCTTCTCTTCTGCAGAGGTAATTACTTTATCATTTATATCGCCAGTTATTATATCATCTTCCAGATTTTGTGAATCCATTCCTTCAACTTGTTGTTTTGATTCGAGAAGTGTTCCAGTTTCTTCTTCCATGGCTTCTTCATGATTCTGTGATTCTGGAGACTGATGTGCCCCAACAGGTTCTTGTTTAATGTGCATTGTCTCGCCATTAGTAACCCCCTCTTCACCCCCATCACTCACTTCCTCTTCATGATCATCCATCTCAACTTTTATGTCGACCTGTGGCCCCATACTATCAAGATCCATTTCCTCTTCATGTTCTAAAGGTACAGTAATTCTAACCCCCCTTTTACGAATAGGTGACTTGGTACCCCCACCCTCCCTATTCTTACGTAAATCTTTCCCTTTACCATTTTCATCCTCTAATTTGCCTTCCAGCATTTTAATTTCAGCATCAAAAATATTCATTGTTTCTCCCACAGATTCTCTGTGTTTTTCAACAATGTCTGCAAGAAAAGATGATATTTACAATCTAGCAATTTTTAAAATCAAGAATGCGGTGCATTTAATATGATTAATCTGTTGTAGAATATGTATTCAAATATTCAATTCAATTAGGAAATCACTGTTTTTTTCATAGATCATACAAAATATCAAGCAACAATGTTCAGAGGTAGAAGATAAGAGGGCGGAATAAACAATTAATTATTGCAGATTCCTGATTATGTTGTAAATACATGTTCCATATCAAGACGAAGCTATCCCAATTGATATATACTAAAAAATAATTAAGGATAATCTTTAAATTCTTTAAATACTATTAAACTAGCTATATTATTGTATAAAACGCACCTCTAATTTGTTCTTTGCTTTCTTCCAGTGCCCTCTGCGTTCGGGGAGTGAGGTCTTTCGGCATGAAAAATATTTTGGGGGATGCTTTAGTCATGATAAATTTTGACTTTTTATCCCATTCTTTCTCCCATTCAACAAGCTGTAAAGCATTATGCAAAGTATTGTTTGAATGAAAAAGATTTCAAATGACTAATCCCCTCATTGAATTTTGTTTCTAATTGCCAATCTGTTATAGACAAATGAAAAAATATGATAAATATTGATAGATAACATGAAAGCCTCCACAAGCTGTTGGCAAACTAGAAGTTTATCCGATTCCATTTCCAAGCCAGTGTTAGCACTTACCAAAAAGAAGCTGGCATGAGCAATTATATAAAGCTGGTTATCTATAAGAATATATAACAAAGCTCTTACTTCATCTGCAAGGGCAACTTTCTGTTCGAGTAGTTGAATTCTCTTCTGTTGAGCTCGTCTTTCATTGAAGAGGGTCCTCCGCTGTGATGCCAGTTTTCTTCTTTCTTCAATCGTCTGCTCTTCGAGTCTTGTTTCCACCTCTCTCTGCTTCTGAGTCTGCTTTAGTGTCTGATGGAAAAAATCAATAATATATTTCAAACAGATACATATTATCTCAAATTTTAGTATTAACTTCGTACTTCATGTGACTGTTATATGAGCGTATATTTTTCCTTCAAAGAGTAATTATAATAACAATACTTGTACCTGCTGTCGCTGACTGCCAGAATCATTCTGGAATCTCGCAAGAGTTCCCATTAAAACACCAAACATTCGGCGATTTCTGAAATAAAAGTTGAATTTGAATAAGAAGTGCGCCGACTTAGTTGGACAAGCATCCACAATTTTCCCAGAGTTCAGTAAATTGACATCATTAAATCGAGGATAATCAATCTATTTACTGAAAAGATCTAAATAAAACTGTAAATATATTGCATATAATCTATCATACCTTGCCTTGCCCTTTTCTCCAACATTCTGAGCACTTATTAATTCATTTTTGGTGATTTTCTTGGCAGTTGATACAACAGAAGATTGTACAGCAGGCTAAAAATAATTTATTAAAAGTCTTGCATATGTTTTTTCCAAATTTTATATACGAAATATTACATTTTTCCTAATCTCTACTTTACCCGTTAATTTTTTCAAAGGCTCAAATTTTCTTTTTGCGCCCTCTCACTTTATTTTTGACTTTAAATCTTGGTGTCACCGACTCATGAGTCATGAATAATATGTTGACCATTTCTGGTCCTTCGCGACTTTCTGTCAATTGCAATAAAACCCGGTATCTCACTCAGTGCATAATAGTTTGTGCTTGATTATTTGTGATTTCTTGCAAAATAAACTCATTGTAAGATAATAATTTAATAATATGTTATGCATCGAATATAATCTAACAAAAATATTGAGTCCATACCTTCTTCACGATTTCTTCTTCTTCCTCATCTTCTTCTTCTTGTTTTGATTTTCTCCTTCCCCTGATGATGACTCTTCTACCTCCCCCGGCTGGTCCAAGCCTAAAAGAAAAAAATGTTGGACTGAAAATTGCTATGAAAATAAAATTGAATAGCAATAGCGCTCATAAGCAGTGTTCCCTCTGAGGTGTGCGCGCGCACACAGCTTTCAGAAGCTGCGCACACGCATAGGTTTACTGCGCACAGACGTATTTCGATGTAATGTACCAATGTGCTCGGTTGGCAGGTTGAGAAAGTTTGTTGTTGGCCCACTTATTACCCGGTTAGAACGCCAAAATTTCTTCATTGGTTTTTGCACAAATATTAGTCATTTCCAAAAAAGTGCGCACACACCAAAATTTCTGCGCACACATACTACAAAAAATTAGAGGGAACATCGCTCAAAAGCAAATAATAAATCAGTTGTTGAAAGCTAAACTTTCTTATGCAAACAATTGTTATTAAAATTAGCCATCTTTATATTTCTAGACCAGTGCTCGTAGTGCTTTTATTCTTCACTCAAATTCTGGTACACTGCACCCACCCTACATTTTTAAACGACCAAAACACAATGTTTAAAAGATATGAATTTTTATACTGACACAAAATTTTATTATTTGTCTAATGCAGTGATTCCCAAAGTGGGCGATATGCCCCCCGGTGGGCTATAACGCTACAGTGGGGGGCGAAAAAGTCGAAGGGGGCGATTTCTAGAAACCTGTTTTTGTTCGGCGCATCGTGCACTTGATTACTGTACTCTTCGTATGTTTGAATCACGTAGGCGATTATCACACGCGAAAGGATTGCTGGACTCGTCTTCGCAGTAAAATACAGTCGTTTCCGTATCCCAGTGGTCGGCAAAATACAGCGGCCGAAGTAAAATAATCAGTCCCGGGACGCTCCACTGAATGGACCGTTCCCCGACCTTCGACCCCGGAAAATTTTTCCTATACTTTACCATTTTTAAATTTTCGGTGCGTATTTTAAGAGTGGTTTTGCGAGTTGTTGCCTGTAAAACAGGGTATTTGTTTCAAACTATCATTCTAATTCATACCATTCAACAATCTGTTTTTTAAAAGTACCAGTAAAGAATTTTAGCCTAGTCTATCAAAGATATTTCTACACCAAATTTTTGCCTACTGTAAATAAACTGAAACTTCTGGGAAGACAAAGTGATCATTGACTTAAATTATTTATATTTAAATTTCCGAAAAATAACTAAAAACTAACGAATATAATTCAGAAACGCGAAAATGAGGTACCGGTAATTTTCACGACCACGCCTGAAAATCTGTCTGAGTGAGAAATGTGTCTGAGCGGATGCAAAAGGGGGCATTGTTCCGTTTATTTTTGCATCTTGCTGAAAGGCCAATGTCACGAAGTAAATAAGGAAGTCTATGCCCGGGGAAACATCCAAACGGCGGTTTTGGCAATGAATTAATTTCATTTACAATCTACGCTCGAGGAGTAAATTACATTTTCTTGTGTAACAGAATTTATCGTGAGGCACGTTTAGACAAAATTTTATTATATTCTTAAAATTATATTAAACAGCTTCTCGTTTAACGAGCCTTCAATTCAATTATAATTAGACAATTGGAAACATGCAGAAAAGTTGATGCTGAGTGCAGGGGTTCAATAGCGCAGTAAATATTAGAATATATTGCAATGCAATAAGGAAATAAAATGCATATTCTATTCGAGGGATTCATCACTGCCTAATTTTTGTAAGAGTGTATCTTAAAGAAAATCTTTATCAAAATTTGACAAACCATTACAAAAGGGGTTTTCATCTATGCTACTATTGCTATCAAAACAACGAAATCGCCTTTCCTTCAGTAAACAGGTAATTTTAGATATTATAAAAAACTCGCTGAAGAACACCAAGCTCATCCATCTCATTAAAAAATACTATAAACTATGATTTGTCTCGATATTCGGTCTGTAATATATTCGTTTCAGACTTTACATTTTTTTCGCAGTGCCGGGGGGCGATGAACTTGTATAAACTACTGTAGGGGGGCGATGGTACAAAAAGTTTGGGAACCACTGGTCTAATGCAAACTTTACTCCTGGATTTCATCAGCAAGTTGTACAAAATGAAGTATAACCTTAATTTGAATGCCCGTCCAAATAATGTAAATGTGTCCCCGATCAGTCAAGCAAATTTCTTTTCATAATTTTTATGGGATTGAAAAATAAGTTGTTAGATAAAAGTATATTGTAGATTCTGTAGTCATTCGGACGACAGACTTTGTCGTAGTTTTGGAATTTTTGCCTTTGCCCTTTTGTGCCAAATCTGACCGTGATTCAAGAAGTTCACCAGACCTCCACATCAACAACAGGAATATTGTCCTCAAAAATATTATGCTAGGAAAATTTAAAAACCGAATAACATTTCCTCAATTAACAACCCTCTCCTCATTTCAAGTTTCATTCGAGTGCAGTTAGGAATGAGCAGTTTGCTACAAAAAGGGTACTACGCCAAGCAGATAACAAAAACTTGGGAGTACAGTTGACGAGTAGACTACTATTCTAGACATACGAGGACATCCACCAATACCTGCTGAACACAGCTAGTTTCTTTCTTGGAGGCTCTGAATCCTGTATCTTTGAAGTTTGAACATCTCTTTCTCGTCTGCAAGTACAGATTAATTTATACATTGACATACATTTCTCAATTAAAATAATTTCACTTCAAAAGAAGAACCATCACTCATCGTGTAATTGAACTTATTTTAGGCTCTAACTTGGTGATTTGACAAGTGAGATCATAATTCACCATCCTGGCATATTGACATCTTGTTACTTTCCATGATGATTAATGTCATGTCCTATATACAGTTGCCTTCTTTCAAAGATGATTGCTCTAAAATTGAATGCTTTGAAAATAACGAGGATAAAACACTCACCGTCCTAAAATGTTTCCAGTCTCTCTGTTGCGAGATGCACCACCAGATAGTCTTCGATTTTCAATATTTGGTCTGAAATCATCATGCAACAACATTGATATTATATGGCCTATTCAACTTTAGTATCATTTAACAACTTTCTAACTAAAGAGCCGATGAAGCTTGAACTGATGACATATAGTGATTTGTCATGGTGCTGTGTATTCCGTACTTTATTATAAAACACCAAATGACTGATGATTTTAAAATAATGTAATTTTGCTTTTATTCAGTTTGCTCATGTTTGCACGTGACAGAGTGAAAAAAAACACACTCACAATGCAAATGGCAGAATGGATAGACAATACAGCGATAGTACAGCGGTAGAATAGGAATATATTTTTTCGACCCTAAACCTAGCAAGTGCAAATCAATTGGTTTACTGAGTTTTATACTCCTGGTCCCAAGGCAGCAAATTTAATTTAATTTTATCCTACCATTCTACCTAATGGAAATTTGAATAAACACTACAGCACTAGGCTTATTTTCATTATTTGCCCACCCACCCAAGAAAACAACAACGTACCAATACTGACACATACCGGTAACAAATAATCCAGAATATTAATGATACAGTGATAACCACAAGAATGAGATTCGAAACACTAATTTTACCTTGGTTCATTTGGGTCCCTTCCTGTTATTTTTTTGATGTTTTCATCTACGCTTTTCAGGTTTTCTTTTGCTTTTTCAATCTGCTCTTTCAAACTATTCAGTGCCAGAGACATTATGCTACTATGCGAGGTGATGAGAATCCTGTATTTCCTAGTCAGTTGCCACTAAAAAGCTGAAACTGTTAAATACATAAAGTACAGAAGTGGAAGAAAGGTGGATAAGGTTACCGTACATTTTTCAGTTTGCTGTTCCCTGGAAATAGCATCAATTCCAACTAGGCCTGTACCGATATGTAGAATGTAGACTATAATCATATTTTATTAAAAATAACGCTACGGTCTCCTGTGATTTTGCTCATAATATCATTTTAGTTATACTAAATTACGGTACCGGTACTGAAATAGGCATGTCAGCATGTTGGTACAATAACTGCATAACCTAGGGTCCGCATAATACAGTAATAAAGTGACATGCTTTTGGATGGCGTACCGGTACGGTAGTCAGGTTGGGGTTAGGATTATTATCTGCAAAAAATCGTTACCGGTACCGGTACCAATGCTCTGCCCACCGAAAGTACTTGCTGATTTGAGTTACGACACTACACGCTGACACGAGACCCCGTTTCCGTAGATGGATTCCGAAATTAAAATACCGGTGACGGCTCGCTGCCGCGTCAACACTTTCCGGGAACAACTACCGTACCGGTAAAAAATAAACCAACGACTTACCGGTACCGGTTTGAAGAGAAAAGATGCTTATACTAAAAAGAGGTTTATACGAGTTAACGACAAGTAAATGGATGATAGATGCAGTATGTAAGGTATGTATTGTGCTGATATACGAGGCAGAAAAGGTGCGGGTATCACAAACAGTTAAGTATAGAAGTGCATGCGGTTGAGCACTTTATCAATTCTGCAATAAGACAGATATCGTAGGTATCATCAATGAGATCATGGCATCGTTGACCGGATGAAAATTCCTAGTCATTTTGTCGACGCCTACTCCCACCCAGCCCCCTGTATTATATTCTTATGACGTGAATATTTTTGTGGCTAATTTGATTCCATATAATTTTTTGGGATTTTGTTTTTTTACCACTCACATGAAGTGGACTTCGTTTACGAGGCACGAATTTCCGAAAGTTCACCCTGCAGAAATCCACCGATAATTACTGGTAGTAGTAGGCCCAGAGGTATATTTCCAGTTCAGTGATATTAGGTCGACAGATAAAGTAGTACTAAGTGCTCGTGGGCATACTTTTTGTTTCAGGTTAAAGCTGATTATAGCGTTCTTAGGCCGCGAGACGAGGCCGTTTATTTTTCAGTTCCGTAGCGCATATAAGGGAACTACCTGAAAATGATTTTAAAAAGTTCACTAGAAATTTAGTAACAAATAATGCCTTGTTCCCATTTCCAAAAGTTGCACGTTTTACGGAAAAACGCTTTTACTACGATAAATATGTGTTACCATCTGTCATATACTCTCTGCTCCACCGGTCTCATGGCCAATGAACGTAGACTTCTGCATGACGTAACAATAAAAATTGGTCAGCTGTAGGTGGATCCCCGTAGTCGGATGAATATCAGATGTAGGTAACTACTGCTCGCTTTTGCGTTGAGTTGGGTAGCCTTTTCATAGTCTTTTTCAATTATTATTGGTTGAGTTATTCTGAGAAGGTGTTAATAAGTATAAGTAAACTATTAAACACTTGTATATACGTAACATAAATAGCAATTTCAGTTGAGCACTAGCTCATAAAACGTTGTTATATAGAGGACTTGCACGGGTCATGTGACTTTGTTTACTGAACGGCAAAAAAACAAAAACGTTCAGCTGGCTCCTGTCAGTTGCAAGTCGGATTATACGTTTCCGTTTTGTTTGGCTGTTGAAAATTGTTATTTCGTATCGTTCCGTTGGCTGTACGTATAGTATAGAGTATAGACAACGGAATGGATCTTCAGTTATATTCCACTGTTTTCAAAAGATCCGGAACGTCGCGCAATGTGGATATCATCTATTGTCAGGACTGCTTGGTGTCAAGTCCAGAAGGGTTCCATTACATTTGAACCCATGACAATTGCACCTGTATGCTATTGCACCTATGGAATTTTTTTTGTTTCACGGATAGTTGAACCCATACTAACCCTAACCCATGGGTTTTAGCACCCGCATTTAGATTGAACCCGTGGATATACGCATGTGTTCAAATGTACATGGGTTCAAATGTACGGTCACCGTCCAGAAGTCATCTCGCTTGTGTTTCACTGTTTGCGGACAGCACTTCGTTGATGGTGAGTGATAATATGCCGTTATCAAGTTCTTTAAATATTCATCAGCCCCCTCGTTTCAATGGAAAGCAAATCTAGTATACAAACACTGCAGGACTGTAGTACATCGGATAAAATGCATTATGTATGAAAAGTATTAGTCGGTATTTAGTGGTATTTTTACACTCATGCTGTTCCATATATAGGCTAATTTTCTTAATTTTAGATACTATACTACAAAGAAAACGGCAATGTTCCACCAATCCAACCTAACGCAGGCTCTAATCACTGCTGCTATCAGCGCTATACCTGCAAGAATAAAATGGATCGAACAAGAAGTCTTGAAGTGTATAAGTATAATAATAAGTATAAGTTTATTTCGACTCCATAATCAGCATAACAATACACTTGGCAGATAAAAACAAGGTGTAAAGGTATGTGAGAAGATACCAGTCGCAAACAGCTTAGATGGGCTATTCATGATGAAAAACTTTGGCACTTTTCAGCAATTGAAACTGCCCATCAAACTGATGTTGGAGAACTTGATTGAGTTTTTCAATTCTATTTTTTCTCAACTATGAAAATCTTTTGAGGTTAAGGAGGCATTAATAAATAAAGCTGAGGAATTTGTTTGTCCACTGTAGGGAGAGGATATGAAGAATGTAAATGATACCAGGGCACGTCTTTTTAACACTGGAAAACATATGGATTACACTCTTCCACCCAACAATGATTCACTGAAGAAGCTTGTTCTGAGGGTTGAACTGAAAGTTTAAAACCAAGGCCAATCATTCTCCCAACCTATTGGCCATGGATGGGTTTTTGATGAGGGTGTTTTGCGGGTTTAATTGATGAATCTACTTCCAGCCCCCAAATCATTTCTTGAGTTGGCTAACTGCAAGTGTAAGCAAAATAGGCGTCAAAATAATTTATGCATGTGTGTCAAAACAACCTAAGTTGCACAGATTTTTGTTTTTATATAGACTGCAAAAACCACACACACTAATCACAGTACACTTATAGAGGAAAAGTCGATTTTCGAGAATGTGGATTTCGGAGGAAATTCAGAAGAAAGTGAATTATATATTGAAGTTGATTTAATAAGTATTATTAATTTGTTATTTATCAGACATCTATTAGTGTCGAAAGTCCTGTTTCCATAAATAATATTGCTTTTGTTTCAAATACACAACCACATAAACGGAAAAAAGACTAATTCGAATACTTCTATTCACTATATTATGTACATATACTGTATTCATTTAATTTTCTTGACTTTTCCGGTAAATTTCTAAGTTGAGAGATTTATTTGTGTTTTTGTGCTCACGATGATAATTTGTGACTTCATTACCTAAAAATAAATACATTTGATAGCTTCTATAAAATAAATGCAACTTCTTATGATGCTGTTCTTTGTTGTAAACTGCTTGTCGGAGAAAGTCTGATTTTGGTCAGACAAAACGTTACAGAAATACAATTGTGTTAGCGTGCAGCAGGGCTCTTGAATTACATAGTTCTTATGCTGTGTTGTTGTAAACCTATGGTTATTGATTTTCTGGGAACCCAATAAATTCAATTTCGCATCAGTATTGTGGAACACGCTGTAATGCGTTCAGTATGTTCATTTTCATACAAAACTGAAAAATTTATTTAGTTACCAGATGTGCGCTACGAAACTCATTTTCTGGGCGTTTTTCAAGGCCTCGTCTCACGGCCTATATCCATGGTAAAGATCTACAAGTGTTTAATTATATACTTACCGTATATACTTTATAACACCGTCTTAGCATAACTTAACTATAATAAAACTAAAAAAGACGATGGAATAGCCACAAACTGAGATTCATCCGCCCGCGAACAGCTGATCAAATTTTCTAGGCGATTTTCAGGGCCTCGTCTTGCGGCCTATCTGTATTATTATCTTATTATGGATTTTTTTTTATTATGTTGTTATTGGTATAGAACACGGAGGGGACGTATGGATTATTTTGTTAAAATGTTTCCCCGACCTTTGACCCCTGGGAGATCATTTCTGTACTTAAGCATTGCAAATTTTTAGATGCTTTTCATATTTTTAAGTAAAAAAACGCATACCAGGCTATTTTTTGTCACAAATCATCTATTTTATATTCTAAACTTTATGTGGGTTTTGTCTGCTTTTCTGATTCTGTAATAAGTCCTTTTGGTATATATATATATATCTTAATAATTATTCAATACGATATTCGAATACTTATTTTTAGCAATTCCAACAGTATCCAGTATTTAACTTGATTGATTTTATGTAAACAAACTTGCTTCCTTTGTATTGTGTAAATTCAAACATAAATCAGAACTTGGCTGGTATTTATTAAAGTTTGAACACAACACAGGTCCGCCCCGAGAATACATTTCATCTCAAGTGAGGAGTCCACCGGTGTAGGAGGCTTGACAACAAATCATTTTCTTGAGTACGATATAATAAGTCAGGTACTAGTGGAATACATGGGTGTTTTGGTATATACTCAAATATTATATTTAAAAATGCACAATTATAGAGTTCATTTATTGCTTTAGAACAGGGGTCGGCAAACTTAAGGTTATTACGGGCCAACTATCAATACCTCCGGTAGCGCGCGGGCCGCATTATTTTCCGCCTGCGAACAATCGCCAACATTAAATTTTAAATCATGGGGCACTTACACCTTCTATTACTGTTTTGAAAGCCTGTCACAATTGGATGTGTATTCACTATCAAGCAATACATTGTTCCTCTTTACTTATTATCAATGTGGAGGATGGTGTTGTTTCTGTTTCATGGCCAATGCGTCAAAATCAAATGCCAACTTTGTTGGGTAGCAGTAAGTCGTCCAAATGACGATCTGTACGAAGTTTATTCTTTGTGGCTCGTGCAATGCATTTTATATAAAGCTACTCACAGCAATATGTGCTTCCAAACGCGCAAAATGAGTTGTGGCGCAGCCCAGGGTCTCGGGGTCGCGTTTCGTATTTGCGATGAAACGTTTCTTAATGACATTTAACATTAAACCTCTTAATAACTGCGATGCTAACTTGGCATATTATAAGCAAACTTATTTTGAAATGCGTAAAAATGAAAAATATTTTTTCCGTTCAAGCACTTTGGAATGTTCGACCCTTGTCGAAACTCCACTTTGTTTCTCAGACATTTTCAAATTTTAAAAATTATCATTAACTTAACTTATACTCACAACGACGTTCAGCTATATAGTAAACGACATAGAACTGACGCTACATACTACAGACCAAGCACTGTACAGCAGTAGCCTATTGTTACCACATGAATCCCAATTGAGGCAATGATAAATTTAATATCAACTATGTTTTATGCATTAAAAGTCGGGTCGTTCGAGGGCCGCAGTTTTCCGACCCTACTTTAGAACAGGAGAGCTACGCCCAAATATATGGACACGTCTGTTCGCAGTACAGTACGTTTTACCGTACCGTCAGATCACAGTCTACAAATATATTCACACCAAGCGAAGCAGTACAGTCGGACACAAAATGGCGTCCGATGTCCGCAGAACGGTCGGTGATGTCATAGCAAACAAAAACAAATCGCACAGAGCTAACAAAAATATTTGAAATAAATAAAAGTAATAGCCTTCTGGAGAAAATTTTTATCTGTAACCACTGAAAATTTCAGAGCAATTGGTTCAGTAATCAAAGAGAAAACGACTTTTTAGATTTTCCACTAGGTGTCCAAAAGAACAACAACAACAACATAATATTGAAACGATCGCTATGTCCACTACGTGTCCAATAAATAGACGTCAACAACACCCGACAATGTGTATATATTCAACAACATATAGTTTTAGGCGGTGTCATTTATCCCATCTAAAGAAGGGGTGTGATTTAATAATATTCCGATTACAATAAAGTGAGAAAACAAGTAATAATGGTCAAAAAAATTGAGCGGTAAGAAACGCGATAGCTTCAATATGCCGAAGCAGATCTTGTATTTGAAATAGGATTCAGAACTTAAAATCACATTGAATTGAATCGACTTGCTATCGAATAGAAAATATTTCAGTAATTCGACTAACTTAAATTGGATGTTTGTGTATTGGGCTCTACTAGCTTGCTGGAATAGTTCCTGCTTCTCTTCATTGGTGTAAACCTAGTTTTGTTTGTGGAATACAGGAAAGCTTAGTTTTGTTTGTGGAAAATTAATAATTAACAACAAACAATTTAATGTATAAATGTATTTACATGTGAATAGCAACAGAATTATTTTACAGAGAAATCTTACCTAATCAATTTCTATCAGAAACCCCCAAAAAATATGATACGAATGAATATTTAAGTCCAGTTTCGAAAATTATTTTTTACGCATTTCGGAGAACCAATTTCTAATGTCTGCATCGAAACAACACTTTTCATTTAAGTGGAACAAATCAACGAATCTACCAACACTAACCCCAGACGAAATCATCGTAATGAAGCTCTTTGGATTCAATTTGTTCAGCGTATATAAAGTTTTACTAAAAACCTTGTCTGTCAGGTGCTTATTTTAGGTATGTATGTGTGGGGGTAGGGTTTATATATTTATCCCAGGGCAAAGAAACGCCGATAAGATGACTATTCCTATGGCGAACCACGGCCTCTTGTCCGGTTATTAGTTCATGCCGTGTATGAAATACGTGAATAGATTTACTGTATATATATTGCTAAATAAAAAGGCACTTGATAAATTCAACACCAACCACTCACATATATTCTTGTTTTCGACCAACGATAAATAAAGATCATACGAAATATGTATTTCTGTTTCGGAGTATTCAGAAAGTTGCAAAGTGCCCTGAATCAACAATTGCCCGATTTTTTTAAAATTTGTGCCCAGCTTTGCCCTATTTTAGAATTAATTTTTCAAATAAATCCAAAACTTGAGACGTTAGACTGCAGATTGCCAAACAGTATTGCTTCTTGTGGTATTGATAATGCTCAAATTGTCTTAGAAAAAATTCCATTTAAAAAAGTAAAGCATAGTAAGTTCTGGCAAAAATAATCTATGGAAATTGGAAAATATGGCGAAATCACCGAGAAGAATGAAAATTCGAACACCTGCGAAATTTGACACGTCTCCTCCAGCCACAATCGTTTTTGTTGTTTTACCAAATATATGTAAATTCAATCATACAAAATGTGTCTATTTAGTTTATTTTTTAAAAGTAATCAGAAACATTTTACGAAGTGCCTGAGATTTCACGAAAGCCCATTCGTCTGATTTTGAGCTGAGCGTTGCCATATTTTACGGTTGGAAAATTGATTATACCAGGAAAGAATGATTTACCTCCACAAACGAATATTATATTTCTATTCGATACAGAAAAGTATAAATCTATTCAAGATCTAATAACAACTGAAACCCCAACTAACTACGGAAAAAATTCAAAAATATGCCAGAAATAGTGCCTAAAAGTGTCTGGTTTTTGGGAGGCCAAGTTGTGTAGCTTCGCATTGGTGTTTGGCACACGTCTACCTATGGTTACGGTAATTTGTTTGTACCCCTGTTAGCAGTAAATTTCATTTGTCGCACGTTAAATATTATACCAAAATGGCCAGAGTTCTTGTTGGAGTGAAGAGAGTGATCGACTATGCTGTTAAGGTGAGTTCTAAATGTAAATTCTTAATACCTAATGTTAACGGCATACGAAACCACACCAAGACCATACGGTACCGGTACCTACTGACCTACTACCGGTACGAGTCCGATCGAATACGCGTTTTTTTAGTTGTCTTGGGGGTCTAAAAAGCATTTCAAGCTATGGAAAATTGCTATCCATGATACGGAAAATTGATTTCATCTTTTTTACATTTTAAAAAGGGGATTTTCGGCCCGCAAAACCACCCCCTGGCTACGCCACTGTCGAGCTCTGTCACTTCAGCACATACCGTAGAACATTAATGAACCAAATTTCCCCAAACTTAGATTAATCTGCCTCCATACAATTGTCAAGCCCATGCTGAAAACAAATAATGAAATAATTGTTGAACTGGCTAACGAATCCCATACTCGACATGGACTAGTAACCAGACGAGAGGCCGTGGTTCGCTATATGATTAAGTCGTTTTATCGGCTTCCCTCACCCCGGGATGATACATAAATATTATCCTATTTCAGTATTTTTGTTTTCGTTATTCCAATTCCTTCATATTTAACAATCAGACAATAGCCATGTCAGCATGTACCGTAATATTCCGAAAAAAAAATGGCCCTGTATGAGATTATCACTTCTTTATCACAGCCCAGCAGCTTGACATCGCTAACGGGTTCTAGCAAAGTTGACTCTGTAACTGCTTAAATAAAGACAAACAAAAATGTAATGTGAAGTACAGCCCAATTTTTTTTTTAAAGTCTGTCTCATGCGGAACTCTATACCCTATTTGGCATGAGACATATCTGCCTAGTTGAAAATATAGCAGGTTTGATTTCAATTAAATGCTTTTGTCGAGAACTGCCTTCCGCGCCAAATTTAAAATGCAAAATAAATGCGACCCTTCTGCCAAAGTTGTGGCCATGTAACCCTAAGATATTTCTTCATCAGTATGCTCACAGCAGTACAGTCTTGACAACACCGGTGTTTGGTTTATGTCTTTGAATGACAATAGGTAGAAGGAAAAATGGGAATTCAATCATAGCTGTACCTTGCAATAATGGAAAAATCTGATCTGTTTGTCGCAATACTTTCCCTTAAAGTATTCACTTTTTCACTATTTTTGATCTCTTAGGGCAGGGGTTCTCAAACTTTTGGTGTTGCGGAGCCCCTGAAAAGGTTGACCATTATTCGCGGAGCCCCAAAAGAAATGTTAAAATTGTAGCTTTCCGATAAATATTCCTGAGTAAGTTAAAAGTACTTAACTTAATTTAAAGGCTAAACCTTTTTTTGATGGGGTTAATGCAAGTCATAAATAAATCAAAATTTCAAAGATAAATTATATATACTCTTACTAAAGCTGTAAATTTGACGCTTGACAAACATATTAATAAACTAGGGGTCGAATCTTTTCCCTTTTGACATTTTCGGAAGACTTAAAACTAAAAGGCTGCTAATAACGTGCGCGATTGCATTTTGTTACAATCACCGATAGTTTTCGTCAGCATGGCATGTTAAACATCTTTACGCCAGTGTTTATTCTCCCTAAATCAAAAATTTTCTTCGGCTTATAGACGTATTGTTCCACAATGACGACGATAATTGCAATTTATTATGAGTTCAATGTGAAAAACATGTTACCATATATAGTCATCGGCGACGAAATGCTAAAAATAATAATTAATAATAAAGAGGTAAATCCGCAACTCAAATTTCTTGATTGAAAAACGGCATTCCAAAATATTAAATTTCAAAATAAAAGATCACACTATAAGTTTGGTTTTAGCAGACTCACGTCAGATTAAAAACGCTTTTATAGGCATTGTAAATCACAAAATTTGGTGTAATGTTAGGTTTTCTTTGGTTATTCGTAGTACAGTAACTGAGAAATCGAAACACAGTCAATTGTGTGCGCGATTTATCTTTTTTTTATTCTGAAACTACCGACGGAGCCGCATGCATTAAAATAAATTTCAATCGTATTTTGCCCAGATCTTGTGATTTTTTTAACGGCGATATCTTGCTTAATAATAATCTCGAGTGCAAAAGAACAAATCAAGTTTGACAAATTCCAAGATCGCAAAAATACGACTCCAATTTATTCATAGGTGGCAGTTTATCACATATTTTATGTTATTTTAGAATAGTATTCCTTCATTTTAGTAATCCTAATAGTAATCTCGAATGAAACTTGAGTAACTATGAGTACAATTGAATTATTACGACGAGACACTTTAAATGCTCGCATCGACCATACATTGAATATTTTACGCAACAGAAATCTCGTTATCCGTTTTTTATAATCGCAAAGAATGTTGCGCGGAAATTTCCGATTCAAATCCCCACCTCTTGAGAATCCTGGCTGCGCTCCAGCTTATAAATAATGTCATTTTTCGATTCCGCCTCTTTGCCATATTTCGAGGCTATAATGTTGTCAAATTTTATCAAAGCTGTTATTGTTTCTTTGAACAGTTACAAAACTAGTCATTATTTTAAAAATTAATCGGATAGCTCACGGAGCCCCTAGGTTTCTCTCGCGGAGCCCTGGGGCTCCGTACGGAGCACTTTGAGAACCTATGTCTTAGGGAAATATATGTTGATATTATGAAATAAAGTAATCAAACTGGCGAAGTAACTGATGCTTTTGTAACATTAAAACTCTTGATATCTTGTATTTAGATACGTGTCAAACCAGATAAAACTGGAGTTGTAACCGAAGGTGTAAAACATTCCATGAATCCTTTCGATGAAATTGCTGTGGAAGAAGCTATAAGGTATAAAAAATGTTCATTTTTCCTAAATAAAAATGTTCATACCATCAAGTGCCTCATTAAAACAGGTTCTCCATATCAATGAAACAACTGAATAAAAATGATGAAATATTTTCAGGTTGAAAGAAAAGAAGATAGCACAGGAAGTTATTGCTGTTACATGTGGACCAGCTCAGAGTCTTGTAATATTTTTTACAACTTTATTTTACAAAAATTCAGAAGAATGATTTTATGTGTAGATGAATTAAGACTTGTATTTTTTCCCCAAAATTCTGTTTCAGTAACTGAATAATTTTTTAAATTGTCCGTAGGATGCTCTGCTTTTATTGGTAATTCAGCTTATCACTGGTAATGATTTAATATGTGATGCCAAAATCATGACCAACTTGATTACAAGTTGACGACTCTTTTAGAGACAAAATTTAATAAAATAATTGCTGCTAGAGATAAATGATGTAATTTATCTTTATGCAGGAAACCCTAAGAACAGCACTTGCTTTGGGAGCTGATAGAGGAATACATGTTGAAATATCAGGCAAACAGTATGAGGAAGCCGGCCCTTTGCAGGTTTGTACCAGTTGTAGTGGATCATTTGTTTGATCATTGTCAATTACTGTGTATTTGTACTCTTTCTTTTATGTGTACATGAACAGTACTGGTATTGATTCTTTGGTAATGATATCAAATTGTTACAAGATTGTTCACATAATTTCTGGTTGGTTTCAGCTTCTTGCACTAACCTTGCTCTCTGTTGCAGATTTCAAAAATTCTTGCCAAATTAGCAGAGAAAGAAAATGTCAATTTGATCATCTTGGGTAAACAAGCGATTGATGGCGATAATAATCAAACAGGTCAAATGACAGCAGCTCATCTTAATTGGCCCCAGGTTAGTTTCTTGATTTCATTGGAACTGACCGAGTCAGTGGTTCCCAAAGTGGGGTCCATGAATCACATTCGGATGGTCCGCGAAAGAAATCTGTTATTATGGCTCATAGCTTGATTATACAAAAATTAAGTGCTCAAATTTGCAAATACCAATTTGTCGCCTTTTGCTGCTTCGGAATCACTGCTAGACACTGATTCTTCACTCACTGTTTCGATCACGCTGTCCCACGGAGAGAGTTCAATTGCTGCTAATACAAGTTAATTAACTGCAGAGGTGTAGCTGAAGCGCACGCTGCCTTTTTGCATGTTGGTTGGTATGGGAGGGAGTTACAGTAGGCACTAGGCAGTTATGCCAGCACGCTTTCAAATGCTGTTTTACAACGAAACATGTGCACCCATCTCATTAAACTTTGTCATATACTTTTTGTTTCTTTCATTGTTTTTCACTATACGACGCATTTATTTTTTGTTGTGATCTTTTAATGTTGGCCGGAAATCAATAAAAAAAATTGTGCAAGGGGTCCGTCATGGAATTCTTTCTAAAAAGTTTAGGAACCACTGAACTAAGTTGATATTATTTTTGAAATTTCAGACATGCTCAAATTTAATAAAAGTTTTTATATGATACTTCGTTCCTGTGAGCATTTTATGTTTGCAATAAATCTTGCATCGTTGATCGCTTGCAATCTAGCTTTTGATGGTGAAAGTGGTGATCAATCTTATACTTTCTGTTAGGCATAAGCTGAATGTATACAACTGTTTTAGGGAACATTTGCTTCTGAAATTACGCTTGAGGGTGAGACATTAAAAGTGTTGAGAGAAATTGATGGGGGATTGGAAACAATTGAGATCAAAATGCCTGCTGTCGTGACTGCCGACCTTCGTCTAAATGAACCAAGATACGCAACTTTACCTAATATTATGGTAATATCATTTTGATCTTTTTTGAATATATGCCGGTATTTGTGTTCTAACCATTGTCTGTATGACATGCAAGTACTAAAAATGCTGCTGCTTTCTTGTAGCCTTGGTATAAAATTCAGGACAGTTTGGGGAGTTGAAACCACCAAGATTCTAAGACTGCTCGACAGTAACTGTCGGCTCATTGCTTGAAATGTTCTTTCCATTGCACTTGTAATCGCTCTTCATCCATTTGCATATTTGAATCATATGTGGTATAATCTCAATGTTCTTTACCATTTAAAGTCCTCAAATCTGAAACCACTTGCTAGTTAGCAATTCCCCATCTGATCTGGGTTTGTTCATGCCAAATGGCGACAAAATGATTTTGTGAGCTGCTGTTCTCCCCGCTTGGTTTGAATTTGCCAAATGTCCGAAGTAACACCAGAGATGTCGGCAAAAAGTTACTGAGATGTGTGAGAATCACTCCAGGTTGATGGTAATTTTGATTCCAGCTCTAGTTTCTGGGCAAAAAGTTGGTCACTCAGTTCTGTTTCTGAGAACTTGCATACTGTACATTTGAAATTAATAGGGCAAATCATTTATAGAAAGCAAAGAAAAAGAAGGTGGACAAGGTTAAAGCAGAAGACTTAGGCGTTGATCTCACTTCCAAAGTTCAAGTTTTAGAAGTTTCAGATCCACCAGAGAGGAAAGCCGGAGTAATAGTAGAAAATGTTGAAGAACTTGTTGCAAAATTAAAACAAGATGGAAGAATATAATTTGATTAAATACCATAACTCGAGCCTTCTAATTATTTCTGACTGTTATATTATAATTTACTCTTCTACTGTGTTGTGATTTCTGAATTTCAATGTGCAAATCTTTTTGTTACATAAGAAATAAAATTATCCTGCGCAAATAGCCATTAGAATAATTTTTAGCTGATAAGTGAAGTCTCTCGTCCAAGGCTGTGAACATAATATACCTAGCATAGCCAGTTCACAGTCCCTGCTGTATGGCGTGCTTGACGCTGGGGTTAGTTGGAGACTATGTGAGCCATTTATGTTCGGTGAGAAATTTTCCCTACAGAAATTGTTCGAACTCTAGTTTTGTCATCCTAAATTCATTGAACGTGAAAAATGCATGCGACAAACTCCATGGAAATTTGTTTCTGGACACTTAGGACGTTTGCATGGCAATGTTTAAGAAAATCGGCGGAATACAGTTGACAAAAAACGACTTACTTGCCACGCTGCTTTGAGGAATTTTGAAATTGAAGGCTCGGCGGTTGCCCCATTTTACGTAATTACTGGTAGGTTACACATTCCTTGACCACGTCACGTCTATGCATCTGAAACAAGATACCGACTGGTTTCGAGTTTTTTTGGTAAACAAGGTAGATATTTAGATAATATTTAATGGGCATAGACGACATGCAAGAAAACGACCTTTCCAAGATCGGGAAATGCTCGGCGTGTTTGCCAATGTGCTGAGGGTGGCGGGCTTTAACCTACTCCCATGCATATGTGTTAGATTCGCTCGCATTGTCCGATCGATGTGTAGTATTGTACCAGTGCAATTCTATATCAAGCTACGCATTTGAAACAAATCAGAAAAATTATCACATGCTCACAGTCACAAATGTCTGTGGTTTGGCAAGGTTCGTTGTATTGCTTGACTGGTTAAATTGAAGGCTTCAAACGGAGTATGCTAAAAATGGCATGCATCATATATATATTTCGTAAGTTTAGTGTTTATTAGAGGCATTTATAAAAGCAGTAGAGAAATAAAATGAAAGTGGCCTTCAGTCGTTATTTTGCTTTTGGGCTTGGACAGTCCCCTATATAGAGCGCCAAGGTTGCGATTTACCATGTGGACAGGGGCGTGCCAAACTAGTCTGCTGCCCGGGGCGAATTTCTGATAATGCTGCCCCTTATACCTAACTTCTAAAAAATTTGGGTGATAAACAGATTATAGAGGTCGTTATACACGAGAATAAATCAAGTAAAATTAAAGTGAGAAAGAAACGTTTGTTTTATTAAAAGGGGGCATCACGAATGTTGCAATTGTAAAATAAAAAAATTTCTGGGGTCAAGGGTCGGGGAAACAACCCTTGTTGAATAACCATCACCACAGAACAGCTTGATACATCCCTGAAATAATTCAACATTTGATAAAAAGGTATGTCATTGACGTAGGCACTATGTTCACATCAATTGCCTATAAATACATTAGTAATATATATATTTGGATCATGTACAACGTCGAACACGCTACGAAATCTGCAATAATCATCGTGCCAGCCACCGTGGAATCTAATGAACATATCACAATTTTTATTTAGGACAAATGAATCACAATATTGATAGCAGAAAAAAAATATTGCGATCATGATATGAAATCCTCCTTCACGCTTGTTCCAAATTTTCGACTTACCCCAAATACTTCATATTTGGCCATTAGAACACACTCCGAAAAATAAATATATACTCGTGTTCTGTGAATATTATCAAATTCCCTTTCGTAATGAAATACAAGTTTCTCCATTGTCGAGTGCAAAACATAACGGTCAGTCTATGCTCTTTCCAGTGTGCTGAATGTATCAACAAGAACTTTGCAAATTGCAACTTAAGCAGGAAGCTATTATGATTGATTCTCTGGCAATCTTTTAACCCTTCGAATGTTCTCCACGTTTGGCCGAAATATTGATCACTTCCGGGTAGCGGATGAATCGTATGGGCAATATATTGTTATGTACGCCTAAAGAAAAGCATTTTTTTGGATTGCACGTTACTTGTTACTTTTCAGTTCTTAGTGTACCATATTCGATTAGGGTGTTTGGGTAAATACGTTTTTATGGTTATTATGAATTCTATAGTCTTTCATATCCGCATATGCTCAAATAAAACATGGCACTATATCTCCCGTAATAGTTTCTAGGACAATAGTAAAATTAACTAATTAAAAATGAAGTCATCGGGATGTAGCGCTATAATTCTGATAGTAGTGATATCAAATCTTCATTTGAATGCCCAAAGATCCACAAAGAAGCCGGCAAGGTTGAAGGTAAGACACTTCATATTCAAATAAATTAGAAGATTATGCACTTACAAGTTACCTACTTGCATTTATCATATATGTCATGAAAATCTATATATATTAGGAATGGAAAAATCATCGCCATGGTCTCAAAACTCATTTCTGTGACAGTAAAATACGATTAATTTTGGTAGAAGTTTGTGTACGGTTAAATACAAAAAAGTTTTATGTTCTATAACTCTGCAGGCAACCAGAGATCCAATGACTTGTCCTGATGATTGTGCTTTGAAAAGAAGAATAGGAAAAGTTGAACTTCGATTTGAAGGTTTGTCATGAAATAATTTTTGCAATTAGGCATGTTGTCGCACAAAAAATGTAACGTTTGTTTTGGACATTTTGAAAGGTGATGTTTCGGAAATTAAGGCATCCTGTCTTCAAGAAATTGATGCCATTCGGTCACAGTTTTTAGATCGCAACATCAGCCGTGTTCATTTAACAACTCAATCTGAAACAAAAGAAAATGTTGATGGAAAAATATCAAGGGCTGTGGCTCAGTTTAAATTTGTAATCTCGAAGCAACAAACTAAGCTTGAAAATGCTTTGAGTCAGGTATGTTGTTAGGTTGTTGTCTATTTACCGTATTCCATCCACAATCTTGCATATATATATGTAACAAGCTCTTAGCCTGCCAATGTGTTTTAATGGAGTGATGATGTAATAGTGTGTCACATTTTCCGACACACAAGTAAGAAGTAACGCTACGTTAATGAACTTCGCACTGCTTGAAATTTATTTCTAATATTTTTAGAAAGTTTACGAATGTGTTTCTTTCAACTGCAAAAAAATTATTTGTTACCGCTAACACATCGTCTTTTTGTATTTGTTATCCTTACACGGAAAGATCATGCAACATAATATTGCTTCCAACTAAATCTATTTGCGAGAATATCACTCCTTCACACATCAACTAGACAGATATATTCCTCAGGCTGGCCGCTTGGTTCCATCAATTTGGTGTTGATATGAATATACACATCTTCAAATACTTTAGCATGAAATAAATCTAATACGTCATCTGCTGCAGGTTGAAAAGTTATCTGCTTTGCCGTCTCTAGAAGAAGATTTGTATGAAAGTAGTCAAAGACAAGTCGAACTGTCTAACACAATCAACGTGATGAATCAAACACTGATGATTTTACAACAACAAAACATTAATTTACAGCAACAAACCCAGGTTAGTATTGGATGATTTAATTAGGTATTTATTGGTGTCTTATTGAGCATTTGCGCGATGAGATATATTCTAAGAAGGTCCGGGTGCTATTTCGCAACATCCATTCTATTGTCTCTCGCCTTGGTCGGAGACTAAACAATATATATATATATATATACTTAATAAAGTAAAGTAAAATAAGTTTTTTTATCTACTGCTCACTGGCTTTCGTATTTCGTAATATATATATATATATATATATATAGCACCTAGAAAGTTACTCGACAGGACTGGACTTCACGCCGTCGCGGAGTGGTTCACATAACGGCTTTCCGAGTAAGGCTTCCGCTGCCCACCAGGCTTTGAACTCATTCGGAGCCTATATGCAAGTTATCGATACCTGTGGCGTTCGAAGGCTATATTGACGATAAGAATTGAATACGCAAGTTTTTAAATTCATTTTCTTGTTTTAACCTTAATACACGAGAAACAAATAGAACAGCCATTTGCACAAACAGGTAAAAAGATTGATTCAACGCAATTGTTTCAAATAAAAGTTTTTGAAAAATTCCCTACCCGAACTGAACTAATTAAGTAGTAATGGTCGTAGCTGTTTATTTCATAAGCGAAATAAATTTTATACAATGCCATTAGGTGTAACAATTCGTTTGCTTTTTACCAGCGGACTTCGTACGGCCTTCATACATATTTCCATATTCACAAACTGTTTTAACCAGAATTTAAAAAAATCATTGCTTACAAAGTATCATTAACAAAATATCTGACGTAAAAGGTAATGGATCAGACCAAAATGTTTTAAAATAAATACTAAATCACCAATCATATATTCATGAGAAGTGGAGCTGATTAATAATATTGAAAATTGCGATTTGAGGTAGCTCCTCTCAGCCATGTCCTGTTCACAAGTTCGCTTTAATAATGCGGTTTCCCCGCCCCAAAATGCACATGGTCTGCCTGAAACACCCTTGCCCTAAGTTGCACGATCGTTGTTTATTTGTATGAAAGTTTTCTTTGTCGATTTCCACCAAATCTATCGACCTGCTCGCCATTGTCACGGTATTTGTTGTACTTCTGGCGTGAATTACTCATTCTAATGCTGGTAGCTTTTACATAGCATCAATCTGCTCTATCAACTCTGAAAACCATGTTTATTTCACAATCTGTCTGTCACGCGTTTACAACACGCGTAAACAACAGTATTTTGTTGCATAAAGTATATGCATAAATTGACGACTGTATGCGCATATGACTTTATTGACAGTATGTATATAAAACGTATTTGAATATAAGTATATACATATCTATGCATTTCTATAGATCTCTCAACAGAAAATGTATATCATGTTATCAAATGTATTAGTTAATCTCTTTCGTCTCTTAGTGGATTCAAAGTTTTAAAAAAAATCTAAAACGGGAATTGTTTATGAGACTTGATGACAAAGACTTCTTAATTTTCTTCAAAATGTAATAGCTTTAAATTGCATCATAACAAACCAATTCTCAGGCCATTCGCTCACAAAATACAGTTCTTCGGGCAAGTAATGATGAATTGAGTGAAGAGAACCGACAGTTGATGGCAGTAGTGAGATCTATGAAGTCAAACGTAACATTTTTACTTCATGTATTTTTTATTTACCTTTTTAATTTGCTGATTCGTTTGAAGCAGAGCCAATTGTATAATCGTTTGCCTAGTATTATGCATTTCATAATTATGTGTACAATCATTTTCACAAATGACGTCATACCGAGAAAATGTTTATAGCTTTGTCCAGAGCAAATAACTGCAAACGGACACATGAAATATTGCGTAAACTGATTTAAACTGAATTCTTTTGCAAGACTATGACATCAGAGAACAAGAAGTAGACCGATAGAGTGTAGATAAAAAATTAGTCAGACAGTTAAATAACAAATATATCAGGAAAATATTGTTTTTTAATTAAATTTTCTTTTTTGGTCTAACACTAATATAAGATTAATTATATATATGGTAATTTTTGGAACTTTATTTGTTCTTCACCCAAAACATTGTACTTCATTGACAGTACATCCCTTCTATAGCTGCCCTACAACTCAGACCCTCTGTATATAGCCCTGTATAGCACGGCAATAGCCCTTTGCGGAAGAGTCATGCCACTCATTTTTTGTATATATTCAGAGTCGCGATGGTCTCCGAATCACAGACGCAGAAGAGAATATATTGAAACAAATGGCCAAGCTAAATGCCCTACAAGGGCAATTTGACTGGCTGTCTGATCAGCTAAACGTGATCTCAGACAAAATGGATGAAGTCGCACTAGAAGCAGCTAAAGCGGCAGAAACTGCCGGGCGCGCTGAAACTCTTTCTAACAAAGCAATCTCCGTCGCAAGACGTCAGCCGACAAATAGTGATCGGAAGGAGCAGCTAGTTCCAAAGAATTTACCTCAACCGGATGAGCCACCAAGCGGTATGTTGCCATGTTTATCATATTATAGGTCGCCAAAACTAATCCCATTGTATTTACCACAATATAATTTGCCCAGGTTCGGGGCTGCTCGTGCTTCCTTGTTTAAACCGTTCGTAGGTTCGCATACGTCAGAGATCTGCTTTTTATTTTGTTGATATTCATACATCAGAACAATAATTCGGATAGGTGTATTCGGGATATATATATTTGGTTCGTGTTGCCCATTATATTGCGAATGATGATTTACGGCAACGGTCCCCAAACTTTTTGTTCGTGCATTGCCAAATTATCAGGAAAAATCTCACGCGCAATTACACGAAAAAAAGCTGCTTTCAAATAAAGATCAATTTTGTGATCGTTAATGTGTACTTTATGCTTTTGTTTGCAAAGAATGAAGGTATAAGGTGAATTTATCTTTCTCGTTTCTGCCTGATTTTTCTTTGAAATGCAAATCACATGTTCGTTGAACTCTGCTCAGCAGATAAATAAACTACAGCTCTCAAAATTGCAGCAGGTAGTGTTTATCTCTATTGTTACATAACAATACAGGCAGACACTGCATAACAGAAAGTAAACGACATCCAGAAATTAAGACTGGGTCCTATTTCAATTTTCTTCCAAAAAATAACACTAGGGCTTATTTTCGGGGGATGTCTTATATTTTCATTTAAAAACAAAATTACAAAGTAGAAAAATACGAGATTTTCAAATATACAAAACATGAAAACCGATATCCATTTTCATTCAAAATAACCTCAAAACAATTATCAATTATTTAAAACGTGCATGAGAGATTTCTTTCTGTCGACTAAGTCAAAAAAATATTCGCGTTATTGACTAGATCCTTTTTTGGGGAAACACGACAAAAAGGTAAAATGAATTTATCGGTTCATATACAAAGCATTTAAAACGTATTTGAGTTTTGTTTAACACGATTCTGTTAATTTACTCGGCACACTCTGCAACTTTCCTCTCTTTCGCCGTTTGGAAACCGCTGAAATATTACCTGAATTACTGAATCCCTGAATTATTTATTTCAGCCGACGATTCGTTATTTTCATTAAAATTTCAACTGAAATTTATATCCATAAAAACTATATATATAGTCTTACTTTCAGAAGGTACAAGTGAGCCGGTTGAAATACTTTGGTAGGCCAGATCCGGCCCGTGGCCGTATTTTTCCCGCCCCTAATGTATAGCCATAGTGGCGAGCCGTTCCTTGAGGCCCTTCAAATCATATGAATATATTTCTTTTTGTTACATCCAAAATACATCGACGAGGTAAAAATCATATATACTTTTATTTCCGTAAAGAAAGGCTATTTTCTAATACCATCAGTACATAATTTAATTAACTTTACACTTGGGGTAAATATTTCAAGCTTTGAATATACACCTCTCTTTACTGCATGAACAGGCTAGAATAGTCACTTGCGGCCATTTAGCATGTAGCAGATTGCAGCGTGTTTGGAATTGCAACGCCATTTGTTGCGCAATAAATGGTATCACTACACAGAAGACTGTCGATTGCGAAAAAAATAGCATAGTTGCGTGCTTTAACGTCAATTGTATGAACTAAACAAAATCAACACTTCTACAGCCACAAGTGACCGATTAGTAAACTTATTTGCCTTGTTGTGACATTCAATTTTGCAGCCAATGCTGCTGCATACATATTTATAAGAATAATTTCCTTCTATTTGAGCGAATCTTTTCCTTGACCTCGCTACTGGACGTGAACCCAATCGTAGGTCTTCGCGTATTTCACAAGATTTAGGTTCTTGGAGCCGATTGAATTTTTGTTACAACTCTACAAATTATAATGGACTTATGAAAAATAAAAATGTCAAAATTACCGTTTACGTCGATTATTCGATGTTCTCACTATATTTCTCAATATAATGCAATCATGTCATCTTGATCTCTTCCCAATACCTTCTTCTTCATTCTTTCTGCTACAGGAACGTTATCGAACAGGAATTCATTGCCTTTTTCATTGTCCACAAGATCGCCGACCACTGAAGGCGATAATCGGCAATTCCAGAGTCGAGGAATTGCTTTTCTCACCAACAAACAAACCAATCAATTCTTAAAAAGTCTGGAGCCACTAAAAACCATTACCATTATTTTTTATTGTTTTCAAATTTCCTTGAATCTCATGAAACCCGAAATTGCACACAAAATTTTGCTGCTTCATTTCAATTCTCAGAGACCCCTATTTTGAAATATGGTAATATTTTATTCCCTCCCCTCGTCCGCCGAACTTTTTAGCAAACGTCGATGCTTAGCTTCAAGGCCTTGCCATATGGGAACGGTGCCAAAGCGCTTGTTCTATCTTTCAGCATGGTTCCCATATTTTTTTTGCGTAAATCAATGATCTGGGATTTGTACAAAATTGATTTGTATAATAGACCGCACATACTTTAATTACGCCATCCATATGAGTCATATAATACGCGAGATCGATCCTTTTTAAGGAAAGCTTTCTCCACTTAATGAGCTGCTTAATGAGCACAAATTCTGTTGTGCGATGTTATACCGTTAAAAAACGTTATTAATTAGGTGGTTTGACTCTCCTCGTTTGATACGCGAATGTTATTAACACTATTTTGTTAGTTTGAACATGATATGTGATTGGAATAATGAATTACTGCATTATTAAATTGTGAAACAAGTACAAAAAAAACAAGCATGACCTATAAAACACAGTATTAGTGCTCACGTGACATAACACAATTAACCAGACAAAAGAAAAACAGACTACAAATTAGTTTAGATGAAAAAATAAACAAATAAAACCTGAACAAAACATGATTTTCAACTTAAGTTTCAATGCATAAACAAATTTTCATCGATCAATCGATGGATGTATAACAGTTCAAGGTAGAACTAAATACGACATCGTGGGGCAGGTTGCTCCACTTTACTACTATGGATAGGATACACAATCTGTGGTTGCTAGATCTTCAAAATAGAATGTAAATATAAATATGTAAACAGGCAAGAATATTTATTGCACTAGATAAATGAATTCAAAATCTATGATAAAAGATTTAAAAACAAGCGCGTCATTCAAACTCAGTATAAATATGCCGGAACCGGAACGTCAAACGTAAAGGCCTTCCTTTGGCCTAGTGGCCAAAAATCAAAACTGAATTTACCGATAATACGGGCATTGTACGCACATCCTTATTAAATCTCTGTTTTTTTCCCCCTGAAGTTATGAAAAGTCAGAAAAATCAATTCCAAGCGTGAAATCACTTGTATACTGATGATTTGATCCGCCAGTGTTAATTGAATTCCCGTCAACTGATTCGTTGCGATCGTCTCTCCAAACATCTTTGATTTTGCTCTTATCTAAGTCATGATCTCTAGGCGTTTTACATGTTCTGATAGTGGGACTGTCTTCTGGTTTCTCGGCGTTACCATTCTTCAGGGCAGCACATTTGCTTCGACTTTTGATGGCAATATTGTCATCTCCTTGACATGTTTTTACCGCTTCAACTCCAATATTCGTTAGTGTTGCTCTAAAATGAAAAAGTGTTTTGAACGCGATATGAATTTGTTTATACGTATTACGTACTAGTATATTATGCGGGCAACTATTTTCAAATATCTGTAAATATAAATAATTGTATATTTCAGTTATTTCTCATAGGCTCGACACATTATAAATATTACCTTTGATGTTTTTCGCTTTCAATGAAACTCGATGTTCTCCAGATTGCCGGAACGACGAGATCAGACCCTCCACATTCTTCATTTTCTGCGAACGAATTCCTTTGCTTATCAAGTTCTTCGTAACTTAAGGTCAATTCCGGATTTGAGCGATATCTACTTGATAAGGTTCTCGGTTTCTGGTTGTGTCCATTGCAGTTGCCTTGGTCACTCGGTGCATTTTCGATCAATAATTTTGTTATTGGAGGCGGTAAGTTACTCTCAGATTTGACAACATTTGAACGATTTTCTAATGTAGAAATGTTTGATAACTTTGACGCGGATCGGCTTGAAGGGAAAAAGGTAGTGTTGTGTTTGGATAGTTTCTTCATGTATGGAGATTTCTGATCTCTTTGTTGTTTTGTGACCAGAAATACGCCATTCACAATCTCAGAAGAGATATTATCGTTAGCTCGCTGGTAACAACAGCAAAGCATGTTTTTAATTTTATCCATAAAATTGTGCAATATTTGACATAGTGATTTTCGAAAATCACGCATCCTTGCTCCATATATTACACAGTTCACAAAACTGTTGGAAAACAGAAGGAACAGGGAACACGATAGCGCGGTCACTTCTTTATTCAATCTTTCTTTTGTGCCGTTATCGTCTAACGTAATAGTACATAGGGTTATAATAAGTGGTAACACTGCAAGGGTAAAAGCAACAACTACAATACATAAAGTTTTTGTGATGTTTGCTTCGTATGACTGTCTCTTGAGTAACTCTTTTGCTCTTCGTAAAGAAGAAACTTTTCTACGCAGCCCAGAAGACTTTGATTCAAAAGATCGAAAACTACTAGAAGTTATACGACCACCGCTCTGGTTGGATGCTTTTTTGCGATACAACGAATGAGCCTTCAAATTATATGTCGAGTCCTCGCCTCCAAACGACCCTTTATTCCATCTAGAAGCTGGATATTTTTTCACGACAGGCGATTTAGTTTCTTTCTCAAATACACTGTCAGAAGTTTGATGGCATACCTGAGTCGAATTTCTCAGTAGGCGATGTTAGATGAGATTTGTAATGAAGTGACTTTTGCCGTTTCAACCCTAGTTGCCTCTTTCGTTTCCACAGTGTACAGCATATCATCAAGTTTAAAATCCACATGCCAACGAGAGGAATTACAAGTGTAAATAAATACCTGCAAAATTTACAACGTTTCACATCAAAATAGGACCATATATTATTCTGTTATTTTACCAAACTAAAATTGTTTGCATAACTGATAAACTGAGCGAAGAAATGGGAAATTATTTCACGCGTTCGTCTGTTACAAAATGGAATAATATAGATTTAATCAGATTATTTTCGTGATCAAATATATCGAAAATACGTTAAACACTGTTGTCGTACCTGTAGATTTTATTTTTCTTTGACAAGAGTAGGAGATAGACATAGATATTGCTTTGATTTCTTATTACACATTATCAATTGCAAAACTACACCTGCGTGGATTAAATTCTTTTTTTTTACTAAGCAATGATCACAATTTTGGTATAGGACTATAAAACATAAAAATGTGAAATCATCATCAACATTTGTAAAAGATTAGCTGAATGTTGTCAACATAAATTAAACTGATTATATTTCCTACCATCGAACTCCAGTAACGTAGTTATCGGTCGATGTCATAGCTGCAAAAATGTGACCAACATGGCGAAAATAAAATGTCTTTCTCATTGCTACTGGGAGCAATGCGAAAATGATGCCGCAGATCCATACGATAAAAACAGCTACTGTTGATCGCTTCAGTGAATACGTCATCTGTTTAAGCCAGTTTGTTCTCTTTTGTTGTGAAGTCCTATCAGTTAAACAAATTTTCATTGTCAAATAAAAATTAACAATTCTAGAACAGAAAAGGTATGTGAAATAATTTATTGAACAATACTGAAAACGGGATGAATAATAGACTATTTTTCATTGATGTGCTGAATGCTAAATTATTATCGTAAATTACAATTAATTTGTAAAAATTGTAATAGCAGTTAATAATTTAGTTGACCTACCTTCTTAAAAATTGGGAAGATGTTAAATGTACTGAATGAGGCTGCGTAAAGACGATCCGCACTTGCCGTTATCAGTGTGTAGATTGACACAAATAAGGTCAGATGCGTAAACGTTCCCAGCGCAACCCGAACTGCCGTGCCCTCAGTAAAATCAATTGTTTCTTCCTGTACAGCTGTATGATTGTGCATTGCAATTGTTGTAAGATCTTGAACTCCAGAGGAAACTATATTTATTCTTGCTTGTGGATGCTGTAAACCCAAATCCTCTTCTTCAATTATGTTTGTGTTTCGCCAATCTTCCCATTGATTACGTTTTGAGTTTCGCTCGAAATTCGAATTGAATTCCAAATACAGATTCATAATGCAAAGCGGCAGTACCGCAACACCTACTAATAAATCGGCAACCGCTAGGGATACCACGTAGACGGAATAGTTTTTCATAATTGGATTACGTTTACGCATTCTACGTGTCTTTGAAGCCAAGTTTATGCCCAATATCAGACAGTTGAACGTAACAGTTATAGCACCCAACATAACGATTAGACCAAGAAAAATTGTCACATAAACTTTGCAGTCGCCAGGGACACAGTCCCAGAGTGTGTTCGAAACTCTAGTTCCGTTGGTAAATCTTCCCGGAGTTAATTGACACTTGAACGGTCTACAGAAAGGAACCTGATACACTTCATATTGCATTTCTACACTCTGTAGAGTATCATTATCCATGATGATTTTTCGGAGATCTATCCAAAGCGTTCTATAATATTTTCGTGATTCTTTATATATTATATAATCAAATATCTATGAGGAAGAAGAAAACGTGGTATTACTGTCCATTGAAGTAATATACAGTAGATACTACACGGTGATCTGCTTCGCCGACTGCTTGTATGAATGAATTGTATTTAATGAGATTGCAACGAGATTCGAGAATCAATATCGCACCATTTTCTTGTTTGCATCATGTAAAATATCTGCGTTATTGCTGCTGTTATTTTACGTATGTTTACGTAATATTCAATGATCTGGATTTAGTATTCAATCATATACGCCGATTTTTATTGAATTCTGTGTATACCCAGTTGCGCCCATAGATTCACCAGTTTCCATTGTTTTAGAATTTGTACATTTTTAATTACTCAGCATCTAAAATAAAATTGCCAACAGATTTTAGAGTAAATTACATCCTAATAAAATATTCTTTTCTGTACCAGTGGTTTTCAACTTTTTTCCGTTAAATTCCTTATCCTTTCACTTATTTGGATATTTTAATTTATCCCCCACTATCGTAAACTACTTCAAAATTCAATATTCAAGTAAAAACTACTTCATTTGTTCAATATTTATGAAATCATTAGCTAATGATACTCACAATCCGCACTCCCAGTTTTATACATTTCAAGTAGTTTATAATGTATGCTCAACGAAGTATTATAGTAACAATGAATAACTGAAAAATATTAGTGATACTACAGCAGTACGAAGCAAAATTGATTCCCATTAACGACCAAATTCCTCTCTCGGGTGAAATTCCTTCCTGACTTGGGAGTCCTGAATGCACTAGTAATCTTTCATTCTATGTACGCGTAAAACCACAATATATTATGGAAGTGTTAAAAAGAAAAATGACTGTATCATTAGATTTTTTTTTAAATTAGCTCTGCCGTACGCAGTCTAGATATTTAGCTCATTTTTTACACAATTCCCAACCATATTATGCTTATAAGTCTGTACGCAATATGATCCTGAACATATTGCTTCAGTTACCAGAATACATAGCCCTTCATAAACGTTGCTGTAAAAATGTGGCTTGCAATAAAATAAATGCAGCTGCAAGATGTGATAATTATGCACTGCATCGCGCGCTCGTGTTAACGAACATATTGACGTAATTTCCTGAAAGACAACACTGATTGCAATAGCTATGCGCGTATATTGTGAGCCGAAAACTCCCGAACTTTGGTCAGCGGAGGTTCAAATAAACGTAACAGTTTGTGTCAAAAATTCAACATAGATTAGTCGAATGACCATTCCCCGGTGCGGATATAACGTCTATAAAAATTGTATAGATGTTTCCCAGTACGCGCGTAGCTAACGCATGATTATGAGTATCATGGCGCAGAGAGGCTCTATGTATACTGATTTTTTTATCAAATAAACAGTTCTAAGATTTGGATCATTATGAATGCAGATAATGGTAACAAACAATACAATAATAGTATATTCCTCTACACATAGACCCACATCCCATGCCCAATGAAACAACATTGGACAATAACCTTAACACTTTAATAATAAGGTGAACTAATTTAATTCGATTTTCAACTCTGAATATAGACTCATCTGCCCGGCGTATTTTATATATTTCTTTGAAAACCAATTCATGGAAAAATAAGATTTTGCCACGCGATTTTTTTTAACAAAATGCACTGAGCGATTGTTTTATACTGTTCGAATGTGTGCAACATCCTTCTCTATCTATTTGGGTAAAGTTAGCCGATAGGTGTTAGGAACTACTCTACACTTGACTAACTTTCGGAGAATTTTCACGTAGTAAAATTACTTGAAAGCAGTACCTTGCATGAAAGATTCTAAAAGGCTCCTTCTATATTGTATTTCGTTACTGTGATGATCAGAAAATAGGCAAGAATTGAGGAAAAGATAACTAGCCTCTATATGCCCGTTGCCTAATATTGTATTAAACTAATTATATTACATTATTATATTATGATAATTTTGTTTCGTCACGCCCCCATCGTAATCACTTCTATGAAGCATTTGAAGAATAAATATTAAAAATACAACGTTTACTGGCAGGTCCCGGACCCATATGCGCATATTATAGATGGCCGATGCTTGATATGATTAAACCAAAATACTATGACTGCTTAAGTAGTTACATCATATTTACGAATCACTACATGAAATCACAGAGTTTCTACAAATACAATCAAACATTATGTAAAATTACTCAAATCTTGGGGAAATTAAATTTTAGACTATAAACATTGAAGAACATGAAAATAGGTCAATTACATTTATAAATTATAATGCAGCTATGTACGGCTATTTATCTAACTATACAATCGGAATAAAAATATATTTTTTTACAATAATAAGCAGAACTTGCTGTTTCCTTTTGTTTGCGTAATATTTAATATTAAAAATTTCATACATTGACGTTACTTTTCCAACCAAAAGACGTTGCGAATTTTTTACGTCTCAGCGATAATTTTATGTCATATGAGAAATGAATTGCACTATGTTACTTTATTTTATGTTGTTCTGACACGCCTCATTCGTTTCTTATAATAAATCTTATACATGTGGGATATTCCTAGGTTTATGCCTTATGCTGAATTTGAAGATTCCAAAATAAAAAATTTCACTGAGCGATTTTTTACAAAAAAAATGGAAAATGCAAGTATGTATTTTTTAAAAATACTTCATGAAACACAAACGATTAACATCGGATAATTTAAATTTTTATTGTGCCAAAATAATTTGGCATCCATGCTAATAATAGAGCAAGCATTTAGTTTTTGCTCCGTAGACATCCATATAATCCTTCCTCATATGTTGCATGAAATCCATGAATGCAGTGGTCAGATAAGATAAATACCCATATTAATCAGTGTGTATAGGCTACAATAGTCTACAAGCCGGTAGGCGCCAGGATCTCCGCTAATTTTTGAGGCCCGCACTCAAACAACCGGTTACCATCAGAAACTTGCGGCTCTATAATGGCAGCGTCATTCAAGTGAACGGGTTACCGAAACTGCCAGTTAATTTAAGCGCTGCCCGTTTCGTAGACATTCTTGCAAATTATTATAATTTCCACTAAAATCACTAAGACTTGGCCAGTTTATGGAGTATCGGGACGAAGGACGAGTAGCCGGGGCCTTTATCGTGTCTGGGAATCGCAATCAGGGCTCATGGCGATGCCTTCAGGTTAGGTCAGAATTGTATGCTTACCTAATACGGGCTACGATCCTGGTCCTGGTCGAATATACAAGAACGAACATGGCCCATATTAAGAAGAAACCAACTTTCGAAGAATTATTTTGGGAGATCTCAATTCACCCCATTAACAACGTCAGTGTGAAATTTCTTTCTGTGGTTTAACTAACTGACCGATGTTACAGATTTGTTAATTCAATTATATTTTATGTTCAACTAGATGACATATCGGCGCCCATTCGTCGTCTGCTTACTCGCGCAGTACTAACAACAGAATCGATTGGGTGGCTACTACTATTTTGTACAATTCGATTTATATTGTTGTTGATTTGCGATAATTCACTAAATTGACTGTTAAATATATATACATTCTCACGCGTTTTGTTACAGTAACAGAAAAATCCATCGCGGTAGATCTTATTTGAAAAGAGAAAATATATATCACCTTGTGAACTTGACCTGTAACATAAGTCGAAAAAATTCCCATTCTGATAAAATGACGCAAATATGCGAGAGAAATGCGTCATCAGGCACAACCTATACGTACACAGAATGCAAAACGAAGATAGTTTAAATTCAATGATGAAGCTAATATGACAATTGATATTTTCATCAAATCGATGAAAATATTATATATATGTCCAATGGCCATACGTTTGTCATTCATGGAATTTTTAGTTATATATTTAACCGATGTATTTCTAGTATTTTGTCAAGTATAGAGAAGTTCACCACAAATAAATGCTATTTTGAGCTTCCTTATTAAAACTTTAAACCTTCTGTTGCATTTGTTACGTCGTCTTCTACAGCTCATAAGCACAATTTGTTACAAATACTTTCTAGATAGGAAAGTCCGCTCAAAACATATAAATGTAGACAATCTGTATCGGACATAACCGTCTCTAACTTTTTGATTTTAGTTTAATTACTGTTTATAAATATCACGCTATACATATTTTTAAACATTAATAAAAAGTTAGTCTTATTATGTATACGAGAATAGCTGTGCCTGCCGTCGTGATTTTAATTTATTCTACAGATAAATACACAAGAAAAGAACGAACAGGCATCGTGTCGAACCGTTAAACGCCGGACGTTGTACTCGTAAACAGCATAGGTTCGTTCGCACCTGCTGCCGTAGTATAATAATGATTTGCTTTAGATCTTATCAAAATCGCAATTAATAAGACCTTACTCGTTTATAACGAAACTTGCTCCATCTTAGGTTCGAATACTATTTGTAGCGTCGCTGCGCCTATGGAATCGGGCTAAAAATGTCATATATACATGTACGAAGCTAGTATTGTTTGGTGGTAAATCAGTTTGTTCTACCGCTTGATTTATATATACCAAATACAAAACTGAACTATTAAAGACCAAGAATTTAGAATGAACCTTGCTTCAACAACGTGCATCGGTCGTGGCCTAGGCCCCATATTTTTTAGATGCGAAAATTGCATTTTACTAAAGAATGCCACACACCAGAGTGCTGGGAGGTATTCACAATTCGAAAGAAATTCCGATCATCGTTATCAGCCTTTAGAGTGGAGGCTCTGGCGTTTTATATACGATTGTAAACACCGGCGGTTGAGAGGTTCGTTGTGATAACAATCACGTAATTTTACGACAAAATTACATCCTAAGCTCGTATGCTGGACAGCAGTTGTTTGTGATAGAAAAAATAGACATTCGGAATCTGTGGTCAAGTTTTCAGTCATCCAACAAATCATTTAATGCCCCCACTTTGCATTATCATGTGAATCGCAAAAACTTAAAATTCAAATATTCAACCTTATTTCTGTTACGCACAATTCGAAAACCAATGTAGTAGGCCTACTAATTTCGATCTTTAATGTTTGACATGGCTTTAAATATTATATTCTGAGAAATACAATATACCAGTGTTCACTATTAGCGCACTTTTTTGCGAAAATTGCGAGCACTTTCGCAACTTTTTTTAGGGACTGCGAAATAGCACTTTTTTCCGATTTTGAAGAGAAATAGCACTTTTTTCGATTTTGAATGGAATAAAAATTCAAAGTTGACAAATATTTTTGTGTGCGTATTAAGTTGACAAATAAGTAACATACTAGTACTTTTGTAACTCAATTCTGCATATCATAACGATATTTACCGGAATTCTAACCTATGTGGTGAAGACACGGAAGATAAAG